CCACGGCGGCCCGAGTGCGCCGAGCCGCGTTGCCGTCCCATGCGCGTCGCGCCTCGAGGCAGCGCCCAGAAAGTGCCAACTGCATCTTGCGCTTAGGACGAGCCAGGACAGCACGTCTCTCTCGTCTCTCTCGGGGGCTGACCCCGCGAGCGCTCCCAGCGGGCGCTCCGGGCGCCACACAGCGCCTCTGGCTGTCACAGGCACATGCGCGCGGCTTTGGGAAAAGCTCAGCAGACAGGCGGAAGGTTCAGGTCTCTGGCAGAGCCCTGGCAGAGCCCTGCCCCAGCCCCCAGCTCCCCTTGGCCGCTCTCCCAGGTGACCTCTCGCGTGTGGCATCACCTGACACCCTGGAACGGTGCAGGCTCTGGGCTCGCACCCTGCTGCCCCAGGGCAGGGCCACGTGACCGGGCCTTCTGGACCATCCTGGACCGCCCTTCTCTCCGTGGTCCCCTCAGGGCTTTCTGTCTGCCAGCCAGAGCGTCTGGTTTGGGATAACAAAACGCAACTTTGGCAGTGACCCAGGAAGCAGGTGCCCTGGGCGCGAAGCTCCGTCAGGGGGTCGCGGGGTCCGCCCGTGGGTGTTGGCTGCCCTGGGCCTCAGCGCGCCTGTGGCTGGCACTGGGCACGTGCTTGCCATGTGGTAGTCACGGCCACACTGGCGCAGGACAGCCCTGTCCAGCACACCGACGGCCTGCCTCCCTTCCCAGCTTCCGATGACCCTCACCAGCGTGTCCCACGGCCTCGGGAAGGTCAGGAGGGCCAGCACCCTGACTGCACCCTAGTAGCCTCCTGCCCCTCCCTCAGGGCGTTCTGAAGGCCTGCTCCGAGCGCCAGGTGAGGCTGGGGACTGGTCCCAGCTCGGTAGCTGCTGTGCCAAGGCGAGCGGCTCCGGTGGGCTCGGCGCCCATGTGCCTGTCGCTGCTCCTCTTCACTCTGGGAGCTGTGACCAGAGCGGCAGCTGAGCTTGCAGACCCTGAGCCGCCGGGGACACCGTCTGCCTGGCCCCGGGGGGCCTCCTGTGCCTGCTCACAGGCCCCCACCGCGAGCTTAGGGGTCAGGTGACTGGCAGCTGCTGTGCCCTGTGTGCTTGACCTTAGCCTGGGCAGTGTCCGGCTGCCAAGTCTCCCGAGCTCTGGAGACAGCAGCAAACTGCAGGTGCCCAGAGCTTCACCCTGCACACATGGGGTGCGGGCTGTTGCAGGCAGAGAGGCCCTGACGTCATTCTGTTGGGACCGCGGCACCCACAATGGTGGGCACAGCTGCCCCCGCCCCCGGGCTGTGTCTCTGCACCTGGGATGTTTGTACAGCAACTTGCAAGAGCCTGAGGTCACAAGGTGGGATCCTGCCATGCAGGAGTCCCCCAAAGGGACATGAAGACCACAGCGCCCTGCAAGCAAGCAGCTACTCTCACTCCTGAGAGCCTGTCCCCACCCCCGGCTCGGGGTGGCGGGGAGGGTGCACGTCTTCTTTAAGCAATGGGAGCAAGTTGACCCCGGATTCACAGTCAGATGCCCCAAGGCAGAGCATCCTACAGGGAGACCCGGATCCCCTCAGTCCCTGGGGCAGACACAAGAATGAGGGTCCTGAAGTCCCGTCCGTGGTCAGCGGGCAACACGGCACCATGCCGTCTTCACCGCGTTTGCTCCAGGCCAGCACAGCAGGAGCCGACGCCTTCTCCCCTGGAACATCACCTGAGCTGTGGCCGCTTAAAAACTTCCTTGCCAAATGTGGAAAGAATGGGTTTCAACTGTCTAGGTCGAGCAGTTGAGTGTTCTGTGTGCCTGTAGTCAGCCCCACGGTGCCCCCGGACACAGGGGCGCCTGTCCCGAGGACCCCGAAGCTGCAGACCACGCGGCGGCACCAGCCTGGCCACCTGCTGCAAGGGCCGGCAGCGCCATCTAGTGGCGGTGCCCAGCCGGGAGGAAGAGGAAACCCCTCCACTGGAAGAATGACGTGGCAGAGAGATGGGGTATCTCCACTGGTCAGCGGCCACATGGATGTGTATTCTAGTGTCCGGAAAAAATTTAGCGACCTACATTAACACCAGCGAGATTCCCAGATGAAATGGCAAGGGACGGATTTGCCTTTCACACTTGCTGGGAAATGTACTTAGACTCACCCCAGTGGGAGTGGTTTCCCCTAGCCCCCAAAAACAGAACCAGGGAAAACTAATCAGCAAACAGACCATTCTCCCCAGGCCTGTACCCCAAATCGCCCTTCAAAACAAGTTAAACCTGACCTGCTTGGGGGAGACCTGCATCACCCACCCATTTGTAGGTCTGTCAGGCAGTGCAGGTGGCTCAGGATACAAATTGTACATTCGTGTGGGGCCCTTCTCTTCTTCCCTTCCCCCCCCCCCCCAGTGGATCCCCGGTGGATTACCTTGTTAAACTGGCCGTGTTTTCTGTGTATGTTGTAAATACATTGACATGATGCATTTCAATAATTGGTGCCCAGTAGCACATTCAGCCCCAGTACCTGCTTCCCCTCCCCCCGGGCTGTAGGGGCTCCCGGAGACTCAGGCACACCACATGCGCGCGCACACACACACGCACACACACGCACCACACAGCCAGGCGCAGCAACACCACACACACACACACACACGCGCGCGCGCAGCGAGGCACACCACACGCAGCGCAGCAGATAAGATAGGCCCTGCCGCGCCTATGCTGGGTTGGGGCCCCCGGCGGGGCTCGAACTCAGGCCGTCACAGTGATAGCGCTGAGCTTAAGCCCCTCTGCTACCGAGGAAGTCCCAACCTGGGGCTTCCCCGTTGCTTGTTAGGGCCTTGGAGGTTGGGGGGAGGAAGCATGATGGGCAGGACCTGCAGGCAGGCAGCTGGACCTAATTAAAGGTAGTAGCCAGTTCACTAGCCCTTCGCATCCCTGGCCTGGGCTATTTCCGGATAAGTCAGAGAACAGGAGTACATGGCGCTTTAACTAACGCAAGCTCAGTTTGGAAGGCATCCACTAGGGCCACTCTTTTAAATGAAGCTGAGACGTCAAAAATATCAAAACTTGAAAGTTGGTCAAATGAAGTTCTTTCAGTGGGCAGGAGCGGACTGTATGTACAGCCCAGGCAGTGGAGGTCAGTTCTTGGCACAGAACCCTGCTGGAATCTAAGCGCGTTTTTGCAAACACAGCTTTGCAGGCAGGCAGACGCCTCGCCCCCTCGCCCCCTCCTTCTTGTTAGTGAATTCTGCTTTGAGCCGCCATCTCTCAGGTGTTGAGAAAGTGCTCTCACTACTCAAATTGGTAAAACACTCTTGATTCCAGTTAACACGTGGGCCCGCTAGGGCCCAGGAGCGCTGCACGGGCTCTGGGCATCACCTGTAGAAGCTGCCGGAAGCGCCCTGGTGGGAGGCCCTGGTTCCTCCTCTTGATCGCAACTTGAAGATTCACCCAGAAAAGCAGAGTGCCCTCAGCAGCGGCTTGCCCGCCCACCTCTTGCTGGGCTCTGCTGAGCTCTGGTGCTTCACCTGGGGAGGAGGGGAGGCGGGAGAGGCCCCAGCCGGCCAAGGGCCGTCCTGGCTCGGGGCTCCGGAGAGGCTTGCCTGGCTTCCTCCCGTGCCCCCGCCCCCTGCCAGCCGCCCAGCAGTCCCCCGCCGCCCCCCGAATCGGTCTGCTGAGTCCTCTCCCTCTTGCCTTCCAGTCCTCCTAAGCCGACGGTGTTCATCTCCGGTGTCATGGCCCGGGTAAGCCCCCGTCCCCTCCGGGCCCCCCCTCCCCCCTGACGCCCCGCCCCATTCATCAGCCCCCGCCGAGCCCCTGGGTCCGGAGGCGGCGGTAGGACAGGCTCTGTCCTGGGCAGGTGGGGCCGGGCGGCCACACGCCGAGCTGGCCCTGCTGCCCCCGCCCCTTCAGTCCGCTGGGCCCGCAGGCCCACCCGACAATCACAGGTGCCCCACAAGAAAGCCCCCACGCCTGAGCCGGGGAGGGGGCCAGGGCCCCGAGAGACCGTGGGGGCGTTGGCCGGTGCCTCTGGGCTCATAGCCCAGGCCCCACATGCGGCCCCCCCACCCTCCCCCCGCTCCAGGACCCCGCAGGAAGGCGGGTGCTGCGGGCCTGGCCAGTGGCCGACCGCCTTCCCTCTCCCGACAGGGCGACAAGGACTTCCCCCCGGCGGCCGCCCAGGTGGCTCACCAGAAGCCCCACGCCTCCATGGACAAGCACCCCGCCCCCCGGACCCAGCACATCCAGCAGCCTCGCAAGTGACCGGCAGCCCCACCGTGGTGGCTTCCCACCGGACCGGCGTCTCCCGGAACTGCTCCCCGCGGTCCAGACAGAGCCGGCGCCCCTGCCAGGGCTGCGCCCGGTCGCCAGCGTGCAGGCGCCAGGCCACCCCCGTGTCCAGGCAGCCCTGGCCGGCGCCCGAGCCCTGCCCCTAAGTGCCATTAGCAGACCTGAGTAAAGCAAGTCCGCCTGCCTGCAGCCTGCAGCCTTAGTTCTTTCGCGCCGCCCAGCGCCCGCCCGTCGGCGGCCAGGAGGTGAGAGGCTACGGTCAGCTACGGTCAGCGGGGAGGAGTGGGCGGGGGGCAGGGCAGGGTGCCCAGTCGACTCTCGCCTCGAGTGACAGGACGGCACAGCCTGCACCCGGCGAGTCGGAAACGAGGGTGTGGGTGACGCGGCCCAGCCAGGACGCCCTTCCCCCCCCCCGCGCCTGGGGGCCAGGCCACCCGGCAGCCCCCGCCGACACAGGCAGGCCCCGACCCCGTCTTCAGAGCCAGCTTGCTGCCAAATGAGGACCAGGCCGTTCGCCCAGAGGGAGCCATTCTGGAATGAGCCCCCTGGGGGCCTCAGGTCCCGCTGACCGTACCCAGCCGGTGCCCCAGGGAAGCTGGACTCCTGCGTTTCCAGTCTTCACCCCAGAGCGGCCCTCGTGTCTGGAGTCACTGTGGACCCGGCCACACACAGCTAACTCAGGACCCAAACGAGCCGTGGCCCCAGGGAGCGGGCACCCCACACTCCGTGGGAGCTAGAAACCTGCCAGCCCGTCGCCCGCTGCCTGGAGTGGGCACATCTGCCTGGGTGCGGCCACTGCCCTGCACCCTCTGCGGCGCCTGCCTGGCGCCTGCCTGGGCAAAAAGAAAGCCCAAGCGGGGGGCAGCCCCGGCGCTGCTCCCGGCGGGGCACAGTCCCCGAGGCTCTGAGCCGGCCGGCCAGCCGAGCGTCACACGGCGCCAGGTGTGGGTGCGTGCCAGGTGCCCCGCCCAGTCGCGGGGAGAGGCCCTCACAGGGGCCTCCTCGGCTCCCGCCAGCGGCCTGCGTAGCCCGGGTGGCTGAGAGGCGCGGGCTGCCCTCCGGCGCAGCTGGCTGCTGGCTGGGCGGCCGGCGAGGCCGCGGGCACAGAGCCCGCAGCTCCTGGCCAGCTCCCAGCAGAGGCCCGAGACCGCCCGGCGGCCCCAGGCGCTCAGCTCCGCGCAGCCCATCTCCCGGCGGGAGCAGCACGGGCGCCGGGCTGCGGCTCCCGGTCACGGAGCGCGAGACCACCGGCTCGCAGCCGTTGACGTCACAGCACAATTATAATAAAGCTCCTGGTTTCCTCTGGCGGCTCGTGTTTTCCTGGATCTCGGTTGGGCTCAGGGACAGGCTGCCCTTGTCGCCCCTGAGGCTGCTCCCCTGCGGGCATCCCACTTCACAGATGGGAAAGCGGGCTCAGCCTTGACTCTCGTCACACGTGACAGAGGACACTGGAGGGGAGGCGCCACAGCCCACACCCGGGCTCACACCGGCCAGGAGCTGGAGGGGGCAGAGGGACCGGCGGCCGCTAACCAGCTGCAGGGACGGAGCCCCCAGGGGCCGGCGCCCAGAGCACCAAGCGCAAGACCGGCAGGCGGCAGGAGCTGGGGGTGTCACGGGCGCGGCTGAAGGTGGGGGTGTGGGCACTAGGGCCGCTGTGCAGACCTGGCCCCTTTCACCTTCTGCAGAGTCTGCGGAGTCAGCAACAAGCAGCCGCCCCCGGAAGGAGGGCCCGAAGGGGCGCCTGAGTCGGCCGTCTCGGCCCGGACGGCCGCAGCCTGCGGCCGCCTGGGCCTCTGGGCTGCCCTCCCCGACTCCGCCCTCCGCTGCCAGCCGCCTCTGGCCTGCCCTACCTGGGCCTGCCCTCACCTGCACCTGCCGGGCTCCTCCTCACTGACCCCTCGGCAGAGGCCGCTCTCCTCAAGGCCGCCGCCTGCGGCCACGCGGGCCTCTCAGCAAGCCCGGCTCGGGCTGCCCGCCTGTGTCCATGCCGTGTCCTTCATTCTCGCCCTTCTGTGATAAGCCTGCCCTCCTGGATACCACTAAGGCCTCCGTAGTGGGGAATCTCGCCAGCTGCTGCTGGAAGGGGGAGCTCTGGCCAAACCCTTCCCAGAGTGCCCCCAGAGACCTGCACTCTAAACCCAACCACTGCACAGACATCAGACGTGCTGGGGGACGCCCCAGTCGGTGGGGGGAGCCCACCACCGCGGCCAGAGAAAGGCAAGCCCAGGCCAGCGTGAGCGCCCACCCCTCGGGCCTCAGCCACGCAGCAGCCAGGGCCGCGGGGGAGTGGACAGAAGCTGCGCAGAGCCACGGGCCAGGACATGCAGCGTCGCGAGCCACGTGCAGAGCGGCAGCTGCCCAAACGCCACGCTGGAGGGGCCGCTGGGCCCGGCGTCACAAGCCACGCCGCGCTGAGACGGCCACGGCGACCCGCCGAGCCTGGGAGGAGGACCCAAGTGGCCATCAACCGAACGGAAAACAGAAGGTGGCCAAGCGCGGGTGCCGCCAACAGGGAGGCCCTAGGGGGGCGCGGACGGCACTGGCGCCCCCCCTCGCCAGGCCACGGCCCCCCCAGATCCTTCCGCGGGGCTGTTTCCAATACGTGTCACCTTGGTGTGTGGAACTAAAGTCAACTGAGGCTCGGAGCCTCGGGAGAAACGGCTGCATAACCTGAGCTGACGTGGACGCCCCAGATTCGGAGACACCTCCAGGAAAACACCCTTTCTGCTGCAGAGACTAGCCGAAGGCGGAGAGAAGACCTACAGCAAGGTGGCAGCCCGAACGCCCACTGCTCTGTGGCTCCCCTTAAAGGCCCGTCTTACTCTTTAGCTCAGGGAATCACCCCCAGTCTGTGTCATTCACCCTCACATTCACAGCCCTGCCCATTCGCTGTATGTCTGTGATCCCATTTGGCCTCCTGCTATTCTGACGACGTTTGCTTGCTTGCGCACTCCGAGAAGAACCCAGAGGAGTGAGGGACCGTGCCCTGCCGTCAAAGCTTCTCATACGCAATGTCACATATGCAGTCCGTGCTTCAGAGGCGTCATCACACGGAGCATCACTGTGTCTGCGTGGAATATTACTTGGCCTGGAAAAGGTGTGAGGTGCTGAGTCACAGTGCACATGGCTGCACCCTGAGAACACTAACTCGGGGAGATAAGCTGTTCACCGATGACCATGTGTTAAGTGACTCCATTCACGGCAGCCCCCTCCCAGGGTGAGGATAAACGGGCCCCTCTTTTTTCAATGACGACCGTGTTCTCAGAGCCACTGGGTTGCTTGCACATATGCATGAATTTGCTGAAAACCATGAAGCCCCCCTAGATAGGTGGTAATGTGGTGTGGGGGTTACACTCAGTGAAGATGGGGTTTCTGTAAAGAGTTAGCCAGGGCGGAGCTGGGGCTCGACTCCAGGTGGTCCTGCTCCAGAGCAGGGCTCTCCAGGGCGCCGGGCCTGGCTCCACAGTGGCCGTGGGGCCGCAGAACAGAAAAGCCACGAAGCGGGAGCTGGGACCACGATCTGCTCCTAGATGAGGTTTGGACGTAAAGGGCGAGAGGGTTGAGGTAACATCGGGGCCCCAGCCTGGAGGCTGGCGTGAGGGCGAAGGTGCTCACAGCGGGACTGGAGCTCGGAGGGTGCGTCTGCGAGAGGCGGGAGGCGGCAGCGGCTGAGGCTGGCACCCCCCCGGCCCCAAGCAGAGTGCCGAGGCTTCACCACGGAGCTCCCCACCCAGAGCTGTGCCAGGGCTGTGGGCAGCCCGACTCCATCTCCTGGGGGGACAGGGACAGGCAGGCTTGGTGAGGGGCAGCGGGAATCCAGCCTGGGTGAGCGTGGGCGCTGGGCCGGATGCCCGCTCTGCCCACGCAGGGCGATGCCGCTGAGCCCGTGGGCACCAGGGACAAGCGTCAGGGACACACTGCTACTGCCACAGGCCTGAGGCCCAGTGGGGACAGGCCACAGGGGCAGGAACGACCACCCCAAAGTGGGGAGCACAGCTGGCCCCCCTAGAGACTGCTCCAGGCCCCCAGCCCCGAGAAAGGCCCGGCAGGCCGCCTGGCTCAGCGGGCTGCTCAGCCATCATTTCCTGGCACATCTGCCCCCGCCGGCGGCCCGGGGTGGCCTCTCCCCGCTGCGGGTTCTCACTCTGCAGCTGTCGTGCTGGTTAAATGCGTCTTTTCACAAACCCCAAAGTAAACTTTTTTCCCCAACACTTGGCATCCTGCTGTGCCCTGCAGTATAAAAACAAAATCAAAACAAGCCCCAGGCATTGTGTAATGCTCCCAGGAGGCATCTACAGCCCTATGTCCTGGCAGGAGGGGCGTGAGGGGCTGCTAACCCTGGATGGATGGATGGATGATGGGTGGGTGGGTGGGCGTGGGGGCGGGTGGGTGATATGGATGGATGGATGGACAGACAGGCAGGTGAATGGATGGATGCATGGACAGTGAGTGGACGGTGGATGGGTGGGGAGGTGGATGGATGGTGGGTGGGTGGATGGACAGACAGGCAGGTCAGTAGATGGACGGTGAGTGGATGGTGGATGGATGGTGGGTGGATGGATGGATGGATGGACAGAAGGATGGGTGGGTGGATGAGTGGGTGGATGAATTGGCCAGTAAAATAGGTAGTGGACGACAGAGAGACGAGAGAGCTGTAAGAAACCAGCTCATGTGACGATGGAGACTAGCAAGTCCAACATCTACAGCATATGGTGATGAGGAAAAGTGAAAAAGAGTATTAGCCCTTGATAAAAGCCCAAAGTGTGTTATTAAAAAGTCACCCAAAGTGATTCTGGGGCTGTCACTGCTCAGAACATCTTGCTCCCCGTGTGAGTAAGCTTCAGTGCATGCCGCTGCTGTGTGGGCCTGTAGGCAGCTGTCTCTGGATCCCTCTCGAGGGCTCGGCTTCCTAACCAGCTTCCTAGCCAGTTCACAAAAAGCGCCTACCCCTTCCTGCCGGGGGCTGGGGGGTGGGGAGTCAGCCTTTGTCCTGTTCAGGCCTTTGACTGATTGGGCGAGGCCCAACCACGCGAGGAAGCAACATCGTCACTCCAG